TACAAATTAAAGGTTACAGCTAAGTCACGCTAAGTCCATGTTATACCTATTTGCTCCGTGCATGACATGCAGCGCCGCCCTCGGTGTCAGAATCGCGCAATACCGTACCCCCGTATGATTAAATCGTAACACTGTCGCTTATAGGAGAAAGTATTATTTATTGAATAAGACGTACATACTGCTATCGCGTAAACATCAGCACCCAAAAAATGGATATGATTATCCAAACAGGCTTTAAAATTATAAGTTGCAACATATTTTTTAATAATGAAACGCTGACAAAAGCTAAAAAATTAGTAGAGAGTGGGCACGTTGCCTACGTACAGGAATATGTAAATAAAGGAGTCGGTCATCTGATCAATTGCTATGTTGTGAGACAAACATCTGTCAGCTTAAATCCATACAAAGTAGAATTATCTGTAAGTACATTATTGCCTATGCTTGACAAATGTAGGTTATGGTAACATATACACAAACTGCCATCAGGCCTGTAAAATTTTCATGATAATTTTACTTGTAATCAATAATAATAATAAAAAAAATTCCGTAGGTTAGGTACGAACTTTTGTCTCCTAACTGCCCTAATCCACAGCTCCTTCTGTTTTGTTTTATGGGGTCTACTTGGGAATTTATACAGCACCACCCCCTGCTTTTCTTTCTTGTTGCAATTAACAACGCAACACTGTCTCGTACGCATTTCGTTACTTTGTAAACGTAAACACTGATTCAGATTATACAGCTAGCGGCAGTCTACGTCGACTGCTTGGAGTAGTTGGAGTTCTTGCTCTCACGTATACAACATTACAGATAAGTATGTGTGTTGTGTACTATATGACAGATTATATTTAATAACCGATTATTTAAAATTTCGGGCGATTTGAAGTGCCTAGCAAAATTATTTATCCGTATTATAGACCCGGTTTGGCTAAATAACATTTTTTTCCGCCTTCGATTTCTCAACTAATTACTTTAAATGAAATAATATCTTTTCTCATGTAAGACAACGCTTACTGGACGATTCATGGGGGTACGGATTCGCCAACTTTGCTCACCTACAGCGCTGCAGTCGTTTTTTTTATCCCCTCCAACCTGATGCACGGAGCGAATACTAAGACATATTTAACGAGGTACACAGTGTATACACTTACACGGCTTATACCTTACAATTTTCCTGGGGCCCTATCCTCTAAACAGTCTAAACGGCGACATAGCCAATACGCAGCTAAAGGAGCTCACTGATTGGTCGAAATTGACTGTGTTGGCCTGGTGTCAGTTGTGTCAGTGTGTCACCCACCGACACACCGGACACACTTATAGGATAGGTCCCCTGCAAGAGGCGCTGTCGTCGATAATGTCGGTCATGTATTGTACTGTATATTAGTATATCTATAAATCTTAGAACATTCAAAGACGTTAAAAGTTACAAGGTACATACATACATGCGCTGTCCTATCAGTCTGCACTGACACTGACTGCAGTGGCTTATAACAGCGTTTTATCATCAGCAATCTCGGCGTTTAAGTTTTACAGTTTTTAAAGATATATTGTAAGTAATTGCGGAGTGAAAAACTGCGATTGTCAAAGACATGTTTTACCTAAGTAATAACTACAAATCGGACGACGAAGACTTTGACAACAGGTAACTCGATAGCAAGTAGAATTTATATCTTAATTATGCGTTGTATACAAAAAATGATACACGCATACCGTTCGTTGCGTTGCGTAGCTTTATTGGAAAGTTCTGTAACTTAAATAACATATAAAAAAAAAAGGTATTGTCGCATCACTTGATACAGTCGGTATCTGCATACACATGTATCTAATATTTATACACTTGCAAGGAAGTGCAACTAGTGCAAGTCTCGTCCTGTTTGCGCAAACAAATGAGTTGCGACCCTTCCGGACCACTGCAACCGGCAGTTCCTCTCGCGGAAATTTTGAAGAGTCCTCGAGTACTCATACACTGATCCTGGCTGACAACTATTTTTCTCGCACACTTCAAAGCCATACAGCATCATAATTATGTCGTTTCACGCGTGTTTTATTGCCATGTGATTCTGTCCTCGCGCATTATAGTTACAGCATCACACACACATCAGCAGTTGTTGTTTATTAGTGTTCCGCGAGTAATTTTGGTTAAAATTAATAATACACATATGGAAGTCAGTGAGATTAAGTCGGAAGCCGTATCGCCTCCCCGGGCATCGCCTGCAGCCGGAAAATTTGACATCGTGGACAAGTGGCGGGCGCGCGTTTTGTTCAGGACACCCGCGAACCCGGCCGGTAGTGGCTGCAGCAGCGGTGACACGTCCACGGTATCTCCAATGGGGACGAGCTGGACCAAGATGATCGAGCGCAAGATGGCCGTGCTCAAGGTGGCTCTTCCCTTCCTGACCGAGCGACAGCTCCTAGGCAAGGCGTGGCAGGAGTGCGGATTTAAGAGCATCATGGGTGGCGTCCCAAGGTGCTTTTTTTTTTTTTTTTTTTTTTTTTTTTTTTTTTGCCAGGACTCGGCGGTTCAAAGCAGCATGTGTATCAGCGCGCACAACCTCGAGATGCGTACGCGCCCATAAACCGGGATATTTTCCGTTACGATTTTGAGCGGGATTTTGAGCTTTTTCCATTTGCTTCAATGATATTTTAAGCTTTGCTTTATCTTACACACACGTATTTTTTTTTCTATCCTTCATAATTTTATCTAAAATTGAAAGTACAAAATAACACAATATTGATCGATAACAAATTCTTCATAAAAAATTCAAGTTACGTTGAGAGTGATGATGCAATTGCAATTGTATTTTGTTCAATCTATGCTCAACTTAATCTTGATGCATACATTATTATGTTAAATGTATGTTCACATTTGCATGTAAATTAATGAAAATACTTTTTTTTTTTTTTTTTAACAGATCAGGACTACCGCCGAAAATAAAGAAGGAATTCACCAAACGCGGTCATTCGAGATTTAGCCAAAAGCCACGAATCAAGAAAGAACCAAAGACTGAAGAATGCCCTTACTCATTTTTGGATCCAAAACCCGAGCCGTCGCAATCTCAAGCTAGTGATCAAGATTTTAATGCGTCGTTTGATACTGAAATTCAGACAATTACAAACAACGCTCAAACATTAGACTTATTTCAAGTGTCTGAAGGGAATGAAGCGGGTGCTGTATCTCCAATACTAAACACTAGAAAGAAATTGAAAAAAGCCCATTTTCGTAATAAAACCAACCAATTAAATCAGACTCAGAGCAGTTACATACTGCCTTGTTCATTAAATACCACTGAACCAAAACTTTACTTTGATCATACGAAAAATGTTGCCCTTGTACCATCAACTTCAAATGAAAAAATCAGTTCACAGTGTATCATTAGCAATGAATATCCGACGACTCAAGAGGTATCCAACAAAACATCATCAAGTCATGACAGTGAAGTGCAATCAAATGTACATAAAGTTTTTCCTGAACAATTACAAAATTCACTAATGCCATCAGATATGTGGGTTATAAATTATAATGAATTACAGAAGTGCATGAATCTCGATGCAAAGCACATGATAATTGAAATCAATAAACCACCATTACAATCGCAAACTCCATCCATGATAGAAAATACAAACGAAAAGTTTATTAATGAAGAAAGCATAGGTGAACAAAATACTTATACTTCGCATCTACTTATTGACGTCTCTTATCTGTATAATTTTAATTCTTCAGGTACAGATTCCAGATGTGGTTATGCGGAAACAACTCCACTTCAAAGTACAAAAGTAAACGCGAAAAAGAGAATAGTGTTTAAAACTGTTGCAGAAGTATATCATAGTGATACAGACGTAGTAGAAAGGACAGAAATTATCGAAAAAACTCCAGAACATCAAATTATAAGGCCAAGTAGTCGCGTTCCAAACTACAACGGGTATTCCGTAGCATCTTGCGATGTGGATAAAATCGAATATGCAGAAGAATATTTAGAAAAAAAAGATGAAAATGAAATGCAAAACATCTGCGTTACTCCTGTTCAACATATAAATGCTGCACATTTTAATGCCATCGAGCCAAATGTTGTACACCTTAGTTGTGAAAAGATGGATGAGGAACCAATAACGTCAGGAAATAACGACGGCATTGATAAAGGGCAATTCAAAGTACAAGGTCATTCAGGTAAAATAGATATAAATTACGATAAAGTAGTTTAAAAATTCAAATTTTTGCTTTCTTGTTGATGATTAATTAAAAAAATTATTTTACATGAAATTAACTTTACCCAATATTGCGATATTTCCAAATACGAATGAGGTGTTGGGATTTTGTATCTATGTCTTTAAAGTCATTGTTTTTTAATAAAGTATGCACTACCTTATTTAAATTCTAAAAATTATGTTGGCAAGGATACTTTACTCTACACTAAATGGTCAATTAACAGTTTGATTTCAGAATTTTATCGTGATACAAGAGTAAATGGAAAGAATGGGCTAGTTTATAAAAGTCACCAACTCAATCATGACTATAAAAGTTCTCAACTGGACTATGACACTCTTTCTATATCACTACCTTTAACACCTGCGGATTTATCTGAGTACACTAAATTACCACCAGAGTGTCTCCTTTCCAATTTTTGCAGCGAACAAGATGCATCATGTACAAACTTGAATATAAGACCTATTGAAAAGAGAAATTATTATTCTGATAAGGTAATAAATTATTTGAAAGATCATTTTGACTCCATCATACCGCCAGATCGATCTATGAAAGATTTTTTATTAGCGCCAGAAAAAAGTTTTAAAAAAGTAGTTGCTGTAGTACAAAGGAAGATAGTTCATATTATGTCAGTTTTAGATGAAGAATATGGTTTGTAAAAGACAAATATTAGAACAAAAAGATGGGAACATTAGATTTTGAGTTAAAAATGTACAAGAGTGAGATTGACAAATAGATGTAATCATTTTAAATAAACTTTTTACATAAGTATTAACAATAAGATTTTTTCTTATCCCTTTGTTAAAAATTTCATTATGATATACTTCATAGTATTTCAAAATTGTATCTACGATAAAGTAACTGAAGACAATAAAATAGCATTTTATAATTTACATACTTAGCCTAAATCTAAGGAATACAGAGTAAGAAAATACATAATACATTCTTATTTTTTCTTCTTTGAACCAAAATCAGAAAAGCCCATTATAGCTGTCATCTCATCTACTGGCTCTTCATCCTCCTTTGGCTCTTCAATTTTTCGCTTCTTGTCTTTACGCTTGTCTTTTCTGTACTCTTTCATTTTTTCTTCCTGAAATTTGTAAAGGCATTTTTATTTAATACAAATGACTGCCCCAATAAAGTAACTAGTAAAACCGTAGATCTCCATTACCTCTTCTTTTAACTCTTTCAGCCTCTGTTCAAGATCATAATCTTTTTTCTTTTCGTCCATCTTTTTTTTGTTAAGAGCCATTCTAGCTTTGACCTGTTCTAGTGTCGATCTCTCTATCTTCATCGACATACCCAAGTTTCTTTGATCTAAAACGTTAGTTTTTGTCATAAATTTTATACTTGAATTTACAGTACAAATAATATTAAAGAATTTAAGAGACTTGGAGCTTACGTTTTGTTCCATTGATGTGATCAAGGAAGTTAATGGAATCCTTGACAACGCAGTCGCAGACATTGCAGTAATATCTGAAAAATTATGATATATTAAGACCTATCAATCAAATTAATATTCATCACCAAGGGTATACTAACCCTCCAGACTGTGAACTTGGGGTATTTTTACTAATGACAACGCTTTTGCCAAGTTTGGACTCCAAATCGACTTTGTAATCACGTTGTTTCAGCAGCTCTCTTTTGACTGCAGGCTGCTTCGGGATCCCTAGTTCTTCCTCTGCTATTTCCTCTTGTAGCCTCTGCAGGGCAATTCTCTCGTACTCTTCTCTGTTCCATTTTCTTCTGTGGTCATCTGGCCTCTGAAAGTGATTAAACGATCATTGACAAAAAATATTGATCTGACAGGACATTGTTTACATTGTGTTCACAACATTATTAAAATCTTCGTATTGCCATAATATGAAGTTCTAGAATAAAAACGTAAACATAGTGATGGGTTTTAAAACACATTTTCTAATTTAGTACTAAAATCTTGGATGATTGTATAGTTTATCAGTCTTTTCTATTTATTATGAAATTGAACGAATTTTAACCTCTCAGGTGACATTGGACACCTTTTTAAATCAAGCCAAAATAATATCAAGAGATGAAAAATATACTTTACCGTTGACATTTTAACTAATAACTATGTACAATTTTTCTATAAGAAATTCCTGTTACTTGACGAATTTTACTCCTTTTTTAATTCTTGTATATATACATATATACATGTATTATATTATTGTTATTACACTACGAGAACGAGAAATAGAACAGTGAGACGTAAGTATAGAAGTGATTAAATAAAAGTGTCGGAACAACGCGTTGTCGCCGTAGAAAGTTGTACAGTCATTGCCATCTAGCGAGGCTGATTCTGAACTAAAAAGTTACACTTACAGCGCTGTTAGACAGCGCTGATGCTGATCTCAAAGTTATATATGCATTATTTTAGGGTGTGTTCCAGTAACGCTCTCCGACAACTTACCGACAACTTAATTACGTCTTACGATATCTCACGTCATGTTTAAGTTGTCGGTAAGTTGTCGGAGAGCGCTACTGGAACACACGGATACTAAGCTAAGACTACGTGATACAGAGTGGCAAGTACAAAACTTGTTTAAAATGTTGGTAGATTAATATTATTTTATAATATTATTGTTAATGTTTACCAAAATTTCGTGTCCTACAATAACAAAATTTAAGTAAATGAAATATGTTAATGGTGGAGTAAAGCCTTTTGAAGAAGGATGCATAATTTTAAATTTGTATCATTTTTTACTATGGAGCTATTCACATAGCATTTTTTGCTTATTTCATTGTGAACGTTCATATTGAAAAGGGGGTTCCACTGTTCCGCTAAACTCAAAGTGAGTGAACAGACTGAACAGACCTATACCTCTTTTTCCATCAGGCAACAAAGCCTATGGTCGCAACAATGTTGACTGACAGAGAACACAGTATAGGTCTGTTCAGTCAGTTCACTCAATTTGAGTTTAGCGGAACAGTGGAACCCCCTTTTCAATATGAACGTTTACAATGAAATAAGCAAAAAATGTCTATGTGAATAGCTCCTATATGGTCGTTATAAAAACTCACTAGACTAGATTCTAGTGTAGGCGTTTAAAAAAGATTATTATTCCATGTACCTTCGGAGAAAAGTGCCGCAACTTTGGTTGAGTGCATAAATTATTGTTAAAAAAACGTTTTTCAAAGTTGCGGCAGTGATTTTTTTTGCAGGGGACCTTTTCCGGGTAGTAGAAGAGTTTCAATTCTGCCGCAAATGACACTGTTCGTTGATAACTTTTTTCTATCCGTTGGACTAGATTGCGGTTGGTATATATAGTATGAATTGATTGCACTTTTCTTACTCCAATATAAATCGTGATTAAAAGAAAAGATTACAAAATTACGAGCAAAATTACGTGTAATCTCTCCTCTTCATGACGTTTCTCAACTTTTTTTAAAGTTGCGGCAGGCATTTTTTTTTTTTACACACTTCCTGGCTCAGGATTTGTTCCGAATGGTGTACTGATCTACTGACAAGCTTTTGCCCGGGTACCGGGTTACCCGATCCGGGTACGCAAGCAAATTTTCATTTAGAAAATTCTAAATGAAAAAATCGTGGCACACCAGAGTCTGTATGTACAATATACCTATATATACATTAGGTGTCTATATAATTCTCCTCATATTTATAAGTACATTGTACATACACAATACAGCCTCTGGCGTGCCACGAACTTTTTATTCAGACCAAGAGCTGAGGCAGTGAGGTGTGGTAGTTAAAGTAGTGCCATTTGATCAATTTTGTAAACCAGCCGCAATTATCTTTGATCAACAGATAAAAGTTAAAAACGAGGTTATAAGGTATATCTGTAAGTGTGATGTCTGGTGAAACTAAAATTTATCTTCTACTTTAAAATTGACCATAAATGTATTTTTTAAAGGTCAAATTTCAAGTAAAAGATACATTTGTATCTTGCCGCAAATTTCATTAAATAGTACAACTAATTATCTACTACTTGTTGGTCAAAGTTGCGGCTGGTTTATAAAACTGATTACACAGCACTACCTTAACCACCACATAACTCTTCACCAATTTGAAATATGACAAAAACAATTGAGGATCTTTTATTTGTAAGATTTCTCAATTTAAAGTGAGAGTGACCAGTAGCGGCTGGTTTAGATTTTTGACCAATACTCTCGGACCTCAGCTCTTGGTCTGTACAGCTCCCCCTCCCTTGCCTCTCTAGAGTAGGGATGGAAAAGCCACCGCAATAGTCGATTAATCGGAAAGTCGACTCAGTCGAAAACTTAAAATCGACTGTCAAGGAATAATCGACCCAAATGAACGATCAAAGTCGATTATAATCGACTTTTATGGACAATCCGTTAGGTACATCTAGATGCTGACGCCGAAACCAGTGGAGCGGCGGAGCGTCAAGGTAAGGTTAGCAGGGAATGTATATATATCTATAGAATTTACATAGCATCTGCGTATATACATCTATAGGTATATACATTCCCCTGCAGGTCACATACAAGCTCTATAGATATATACATTCCCCTGCTAACCTTACCTTGACGCTCCGCTGGTTCCGGCGTCAGCATCTAGATGTACCTTTAGGCCAAAAGAAATCATTTGAGTATTTCAAGAATATATGAGTGAAAAAGGTATTGGTAGGAAATGGTATACGCCAGGCAAAGAAATATTCATGTAATGTATTTATAAATCAATTAACAACAGTCAGGAAAGTAATTAAAATTAAAGGAGCCCAAATTCAGAAAACCAGTCCTCTTTGTCTACAGACATAAAAAAAACCAACTTGTTTAAACGCCGGCCCAGCATGCGGCACCTAAGCTGGTGGCCGATCATTCCAGCGTGCGAGAACAATCTCTCGCGTGGGGTAGAAGTGGGTTTTCAATTTTAGAAAAAAAAGACCAAACTGCACTCCGTGTAGCCATCTCGGCGCTTTGACGATAAATAAACAATGAAAAAACTCTCACTCTCACGCAACTCTCGCTCCTCCACATCCACTCCAGTCGAAGCAGTCGGTCCTAATAGTCGATTACTACGACTACTGCACTCAGCCGCAGTCGACTGCGGCGCTCATAATCGACTATAGTCGAAAGTCGATAGTCGACCTTTCCAACCCTACTCTAGAGATTCCTCGCGAGTCGCGAGCCTTGTGATCATCTGATCGCAGGTGTGCGCTCCGAAAATTTGGTCGATGACAGTGAAGAGCGGAGATAGTTCCTGAAATTAGGCCCAGTGCATTCGCGTATCTTCCATGTATGCTGTAGTTACAGCAGCTAAGGCCGCCTAATCCAAATTCAGTATCAACGCATATATGTTATCTACGGTTTCAGTTGTTTTACTTTATCAAATTGTCATCTAAGTACTCTACAAGGTTCGTGCGTTTGTTTATTTACACGCGAGGAGTCGAGGAACTGATAACAGGAAGAGAGAAAGAGAGAGTGAAACAGATTAAGTACACAGGTGGGAAGCAAATAATTGACCTGCAGACAAGGTGCAGGGCCGACGACATCAGCTGTGCAGTAGGTTCATACAGATAAGTTGCCTTTCTGCAGATTAGCGTGGAGCCGGAGCCATGGCGACGAATATCGCGGCCCAGCGGATCAAACGCGAATTCAAAGAGGTTATAAAGAGTGAGGAGGTGAGTGTCGTTTTCTTAAGTCGTGTATTAAGTATGTTGTTGCTGCAGGCAATTCCCCTAACTTGCTTTACTTTGCATCCACTGTTTGGATATAACTTACGTTATTTCATGTGCCATCTGCCAAGCTAGCTTGTTCTCTTTGTCCTGTGTTGTATCAACCTCTTCATCAAGGAAATTGCATAACCCAACAGCCCTTGCTGGATCTAACGAACTTTTGCCCTTTTCCTCATTATTCTTACGTATCGGCTAGCTTTGATGTGAGAGCGTACTTTGTTATGTGGTCCTTTGTGTGAGATGGCCGTTTACTTGTAATGCTACCAAATTTTAGATTTTTTGTTAACGCGAGGTGAAACTGTATGATGACTTGCACTTGCACTGACACCTTTGGGCTGACCGTATAGTCTCTTGTTATTGTTTGTATAAACTTACTTTTCTATATGTTTGGCTCTACAAATGACTTTTAAACAACAAATTTTCACTGTTTCTCCAAGAGTACTTGACACTTAGAAAAAAAGTAATAAAAAATTTGATTTTTACAGAGTTAATTGCTTATCCTAATTATTGGACTTTTTGCAGCTAGAAGTTTAGTTCATATGTCTATTAAATGAAAAATCCTTCATTTACTAAAAAGGAAATACGTTAATCTAGCTCAGTCTGATCTTCAACATATTAAAATTTGTTATTAGTGGAGTCTTAACTAAATAGAAGTTTTATAAATAAATAGTGAGTAGCTCACTAACGATATATATAATAAAAATTAATATCTACGAAAAATATTACAACTCATACTTTTGTAGGTTCATTCTTTGCACTGATTTACGACTGATAATTCAAAGTGTGGTTTTAAATTGATGTCGTAGCACAATTTATTAGATTGAATACTTACATTTCTTTCTATCTATTTAAAAAAATAGTTTTTTGAACAATTCCAATCTTCAAAAGTAACAAACTTACTTATGATGTGTTCTCTATTTGTTCCCTCTTATGTCAGTTCATAGGATAATCTGCATGTGATAAAAATATTTATCAGAACAGGCAGTTTCTTCATGCTAATTCTTATACTATACTATACAGGCAGTTTCTTATACTATGTTATAATGCACTGCAAAAATATTTCAAATAATGTCAAGGATCAGTTCTTATTATTTCTTGTGTTGAAATATTATTTATTAATNTTTACGTTATAGACGTGTTGATTATTACGATGACCATACTTTTTGCAGACAAACATGCTGAATGGTTAAAAAATTGTATGATAAATGACCTTGTGACTTTGGCGCAAGGACCTGTGGCAAAGACTTGAAAGTCCACTCCATGGACTCGCAAGGGACTTTAAATGTTCTAAGATAAATTTTGCCAGAATGATTTCAGATATTAATCGGGACTTTGTAGCGGGCGCAGCTTCTCGGTTCATTCCAAATTTCCTCTTTCAATTATTTGAAAATGTTCCCATTTTCCACCTGTAGGGCATTCATGTAATATAAGAAAAGCCCCAGCGAAAAAGACAAGTGCAGCTCTGCCGCGCTAACCTGACTCTCTCTCAACGTCCAACACACACGCACACGCGAGCAGAAATAGAAACACCAGGCACGGTAAGTACAGATCGGGAATCGCGCTCGAAAATCCCTCGCCAACTTATTTCCACACATGCACGTATGTATCACTATACACGCGCTCTCAAGTTATGCAAACCAATAGAGTACACGGAGTGGGGCCCCTTAACCTCGAAAAAAAAGGAGGAGAACATCGAACGACAGCGAACAAACAACTTTGCCGCATTCGGAATCGTTCGAATAAAACAGAGAGAAAGAGGGAAAAAGGAGGTGGTGCAAGATACATATTCCCGAAGGAAAACTGCAGCTCGCGAGGGTGGACGTTGAGGTTATGTGTGCGAGATAGTACACGCGTGCGGTTGTGTGTACCGTACTATTAGACGAGCGCCTTGTTATTTCTCTCCTGCATCTATTTCAAGGAAAAGGGAAGAAGGGGCTTCCCCCCCCAAGTTCATTGCCATGCACAACAGTTGTGTATATGTATGTAGGCTCTTTGCTGTCTCTTAAAACCCTTTGACAGACGCTTTTATATACTGTTTTCTCCGTGTACGTATAGGTTCTACGAGACCGGCAATTGGATTTGACGTTACCATATATACACATACGGTGCAGTGTACGAGCGGTCCAATTGGCGTTACATGGATGTATATATATCTATACGCGTGTAACCTATTGCCTGCACTGTTTGTATTTATATATTATCTATGCGTGTCTTGGCAAAGTGGGTGTGGGTGGATATTTTTATAACGCCACCCGTGATGTGTATATATGTATGCACTGATCAGGTGTGTCGTCGTAAACACTTTTATCGCGCGAGTTGGGACCATTTGTGGCCTTTATGGGCCATGCAGATAGAGGAACGGTTTTATTGACGAGTTCCTTGCAGGGACAAGGACAAGCTCGTTTCTCTCTCTCTCTCTTTCTCTTGTTTTTAATTGCCATGTACCTATCCTGTATCAGCTGAAATGCATGTGTTGATAAAAAAAATGTTGCATCAAATGGTATGATCGCAATTTTTGGATTGGACGCGTGATAGCGGGAGAAACCTTTTTGAGATTCGTATAAAATAGACGTGAAGAGTCGACCAATTGTTATGTAGATCGAGCGTATGGGTATAGACAATAAAAATTAAACTTTTTCTAGTAACAAGAAGATACGATTTAAAGGACATGTAGATTTGTATCTACATTGGTCTACAAGCACCAAACAGTTTGAAATTGTTTGTCAGTACTCATAATAATCTTCTGTGCAATTCAATAAACGCCATAACCTCTAAAATCATTTCAAAATTTATTTTTTACTTTCACAAATGATACTTTGTGATTACAGTATTTTTTTATAATATGTATGTAAGCGTGCAATAAAAATATGACACAGAGCATGAATTTCAAATATGGATTTTTTGTAGTTCCTTAACAAGTAACGATACTCAAAAAATTACTTTCCAAACTTCTCGTTAATCTTTCACTTTGGATGTCATTAGTATTGTCAACAAAGATTCGACCTTTTAGAATGCAGTATGATAAATTTAAACAAAAATCCTTCTTCCTTTAAAATCTCGCAGGTCTCCATACTTTTATATTAAGGAAATTATTTTATTGATTGTTTTCAATCAGATTTCATAACCTCATAGAACTCAGGAATCAAGCGAAATCTGTATTGACGAGAAAAGTGATAGGTATATAAATATGTGGTTGTTTCATTTAGTTGTAAAATAGACAGTTCAGATCAAATATGATACACACGTGAAAAAAGCGAGAATTTTCACGTATATATTTCTACGTTAGTTTTCAAATTGAGACGTAAGTACACGTATAGGTAACATAACCTCTTCTGCGCATATATATACATACAATCATAAGCTGCTTTCTTCGATCCCCCGTGAAGTAGGTACGTCGGCAGGTGAGTTACCGAGTTTCGCGATGGTAAATAATATTCCCTTGCAATAAACGAGAAACTCCGGACGAGAGTAAGAGTCCGTGTATATATTTATAAGCGAGTAGGGAACGCGATCTCGCGAGTTTCGTTCGTGTGCGCCCAACAATACATAATACGCCGGAGAATCGATAGTTTATTGCTCCGTCGAGCTGGTTCTTAAATTTCAGGTCACGCACGGGCGATTTTTTTTCCTACATTCATACACGGAATACGACCTTTCGCCGATTCACTCGAAACGCCACGTGCCTATATAATATGATCGCATCACCCGATACACGCGATCGAAAACGGCGCGACATTGACATCCAGCGTAATAATACCAACGTAGCCCGTGCGTTGCCCTTTTGAACACGTACCCCCTCTATGTATTATATACACGCGGTGGGAGTGAAAAAGAAAAACATACATCCGATCCCCGGATTACGTATCTCCTGACACTTTCGCTCTTTTCGATGCAGTAGCGGACCCCTGCGTGTATACAGCGGCGAGAGGAGAGCGAAGGAGATTACGAAAGGCGCGAAATTCTCTTTTTCAGCGGCGCGCGGATATCGATTTCGCGGAACGAGACAATATTCCACACGTACCCGTGTGTGTGTGTGCGTATACGGATATCCCGTGTTATAATACGTGCGAAGGACACGACGCAGCGCTCGCCGTGGAGAGGAAGTAAACAATCCGTGTAGCATTTTTTTTTTTTTTTTAAAGTTGCTTTTTAACATTTAATTTTTGATTTTTAGGATACTCTGTAAAAATAACCATGATGCAAATTGATGAAAATGACCTTCTTGTCTTGCAATTTATTTGAATTGTTAAAAAAAAAAAATGTTTATCAAAATAAAATCTTTCTCTTGTATCTCATTCGAATATTGAGAAATTAAAGTTTACTTAGGTTCGGAATGTACATTGATGTAAAAGATTTATTTAGAAATAGACATGTAAAAAGAATTATACGCTAAACGTTAAATAGTTGATATTTAAATTTTGTACATTTTCCGGTGCATAAGCCGATGGATAAACGCTCGTTCGGTCACTATGTACGCTTATATACAATTACTGCAGTTAAAGAAAAAAAATTTATTCCCACGTGTCTATGCATGGAAATAAACAGTTTACATTCCAAACTCGGAAACAACGATGCATTTATCTATTACCATTTCATTTCCGAATACTGCTGATTTAATCTGAAGTTGAAACTAATTTGTAAAAAAAAAAATAACATCTACAAATTACGAATTTCAAAAAGATTTGATAAAAATTAGTATTGACTTCGCACTGTGTTTAAATTTTGAAACTTTTAATTCGTTAGAAGCTACACTTTTGAATTAATATTTTACCTCTATGAGAAAGTTTTCGATTCACTTATGTTCGTTCATCATCATGCATACAAACATTTCAACAGTGCTTATGAGTTGGTTAAGACCAAAACGTTTTTTTTTTATTTTGAAGTAATTGCACGATCACTCAAGTTTTTTAATTAAAAAGTTGCGCCATTCTACGTAACGAAATTAAATTTTATTTACCTATGTTTGTAAAACGTCGTGACCTATGAAACTCTCTTAATAATAAATTGGACAGTAAGCTTACAAAATTTTTAATGTAAATTCATTATCAACATTAAAATAAAATTTAATCCTTCTTAAGAACTGTGTTTTTATTTACGAATGTACAGTCTTGTACTACAAAATATAAAATTTCTAATTAACTGCTTTGGTAACGAGGAAAAATTTATAAAATGCATTACCAGCAATTTGAAGTGTGACACAAGTATTGATAATTTAGAATTCGACTTTTGTCGTTTAAAACCTTAATATCTAGAAAAACATGTCAAGGATTTTAACGGAAAAATTTAGTTTACAGTTAATAAATGTACATACTTCATTTATAAACATTATTAATCAATACATATATACAGTTTATGTCACAGAGTTTAGAGTATCACCAACTCAATTTAGATTTACAAACATGGCTTACATTGTAAACCTGGATGCTAAGTACTCGTGCTTTTGTGTTTGAAGAGATGTAGTTTGTTTTTCGTTAGAACAGCTTGGCGTGTGCCGTCATATTCGAAAGAGCACATGTCAAGCACCTCTTCAGCCATTGGAAGCTTAAAGGATTCGGTACCAGTAGATATACTCCATCCCAATAGACTTTTATCACTATCATTGTTAGCAATGACTAACGTATCATTTGGTAGATTCATGTAACATGGTCTTGATAATAATTTTTGCATACTCCCACCATTAAACGAATGCACAGCATTAAATTTAATTTGATCATCTCTTTTCTCTATTGTACAAACATTGTGACGTATAGTCGGATTTTTGGCATTTGGTCGACAAGAAAGCAACACGTGGTTGTCTTTATCGTTGTATCTTAAATACAAAAAGGGACCTTCAACATCAATTTGATTCCCCATGTAGTTGCCTTCCTTATAACTGTATGCATAGCATGAATTTAACTGACAAGCTAAGAAACCTCCAGCATGCATAGTTGGACTAGTAGTTGGAATCGAAGCCAATGACACAACAGGAGAGCTGCAATGAATTGATTATTCTAATAATTATTTTTACTTCAATTTGCATTTTTTTTTTTTTTTGAAGCTATTTTAGTGATAATGATACTACATGCTCAAGAAAACAATTACTTTTTCATTTCTATAGACGTATGTAAATAATGTAGTTAATGTGCTGAAATAAATTAAATGTATTTCAGAATGTATGATAAAATTAATTTTTTTTAGTAACTAGAACACCAAGCTAATTCAATAGGTATGTTCAAAGTACGAGTTGTTTGTCTACTTAGCTATACTTGTATATAAAAACAAATTAAAGTGATTGTATTATGACGGTCCGAAGTAAAAAAAGAAAAATTGTTTAACATAACTATGTATAAGCTACTAGTGTAATAATAACTATTCAACAAAACACTAGCAAACAAGAAACGTCAGAAAGAGATGTATTCTTGTATATATCATAAATTTCTTTTTCTAGATGAATAAGCTCGCAAAAATTTAAATATGAAGACATACGGTGCATTTACCTAAAATCAACAAAGAAAGTTCTGAAATCATTTGAATAGTAAATAATTTCTTACTGATCATTGGCGTGGTCTTTTGTCGAGACACTCGATTGCAAAAATCTGATGTCATATTCCATTACGCTACCCTTAGCTCCGCCAACAAAGAACGCCTGTTGGTTATAATTTGACCAACAGCAACTCCATAAATTGGTCTCTTCCTTGTAACTGTGGCTTAGACAAGCTGTACGAATGTCGGTCAGTATGACTTTTTTGTCAAAACCAACACTTAGAAGGAAATTTGGGTGTTGTTCTTGAAAAGCAATGTCCCTGATAGAATTGCTGTGAACACAGACTGGTAAAGAGGTCACATTGTGTTCCAAGAATATTCTGTTGATAGAATTGTCAGAAGAAATTGCTAAGATTTTGTTCCATGGATTGTAAGCCATCACTCTGCAAGAACCTTGAATGTCATAAATCTTAGTTCTACTTAGATGTGAATTTTCACTTGTAACGTTTAATGCCGTTCTTTCAGCAGAAATTATTGCAAGTTGACTCTGAAGATCGTGAATTTTTTGCTTCATATTAGATATTTCTGCACGATATGCTTCTTCTTTAGTGCGATAAAGACTTAATTCTTGTTCAATAGTTTTATGTTTTGCATTTGCATCATTCAGCTGCATTTGTAATTTTTCTTTTTCAACAGTGTCAATACATATTAGTTTTTTGGCATACAACACTCTGACATCTTTCTTCGTTGCTTTAGCCTTGCATTCTGGACAATTTTTGGCATTTTGAGTTCTGCTGAGCCACTGGATAATGCAAGACATACCAAATAGATGACCACAACGCAGAGAGCAGAGCCTGTGCTCGCCCGCATTAGTCCAGGTTTCCAGGCATATTGGACATTTTTGGTCATCATCTATCATGTCATCTGGACTCAAGGGTCGTACTATTAGTTCCGGTAAATCCAATTTAATTTTTTTGTGAGCTGAAATATAAAACCAACAATGCATATAGTTGCAAGCAAGTGTATTGAAACAGGAGCTACTACTGCCAGCCAATTGGGTAATAACATGTCAAACTTACACTGAACGATATTCTCGACGGGATCGTTCTCTTGATGCTGGTTCAGCGATGACGGTTGCACTGGTGGTAACGCGGGTGGCAAAGCTGGCTGAGGGAGGACCTGATTGGCAGCCTCAACATTGGAACCTGCTTGGCTGGACCTAGCACTGGAGACGGTGCTCACTTCACTCATATTGTCATCTTCGTCCATCGGCGTTTCTTCTGTGTCCTCACCACTGTTATCATCATTACCCTCATCCTCATCGTAGTCACCATCCTCAAACTCTTCGTCTTCGTAGTCGTCGTCGTCGTCTTCTTCGTCATCATCGTTGTCGTCGTCATTCGTGTGCCAGCTCTCGTTCTCATCCTCATCCATCAGAAAATCCGCAAACTCCAAATCTTGCTCGTCGTACTCGCTGTCATAGAAATCCTCGTCGTCGGCGTCGTCATTCATGTCAGTGTTGTCCATTAGTCGCTGGTAGATCTGGTTGATGTTCTGCAAACTCGGTACGTCATCGTTCTCTCCTGCGGAGGAAGAAACAGAGGCGCGCCGTGACTCAAGGTTGGACGGGGACTCGAGGCGCTCGTTACTGAAGCCGTCAGAAAAATTGATAGAGTCTATTAACCAACCATCGTCCATGTTACGATGCGTGTAGCAGCATCGGACAGACGACTGGCTAGGCTCTACGACTGTGGCTCCGAACGATCGCTATAACGGTACACTCATCAAAGGACACCACCTCATCCACTTGCTTACCTACCTACCTAATTTAAATCCGTATATATATAAGTACCGACGGCCAGGGAGTGACGACTTTGACTTGTTGGCACTTGGCACGGAAAATGCACAACTTGCAACTTGCACAGAGTGGTTGGTGGATGCAATCAAAACATCATCACGTGCTCCTCGATAATTGCGTGCATTGAAATTTTGAATATCTATATAATAATGTATAAGGAAGTAGGTAGAAAAGTGATGCACTGTTGATTTGTTGGACAGTGTATAAGGTATGGACCATCCTTTATTAACTAACCTGAAAAAAATAATTGATTGTTGCTGTGAGAGATGTAATTGTAGAAAAACAACGTGTAATGACAATTGTTACTAAATTTGAACACCCTAATCATTTAGTTAATTATTTCTATTAGAACAATTCTGAAACGCATACGTGTGGGTCTTCGTCTTCACATATTTCACAGTATCACACACTGGAGTGCACTCTTTTTGATTTCATACTCTTCTGCCAGAGATTTAATCTCTGCTTCTGCTATCTTTCCACACCGAGGCGAGAGACTTGAACCTCTTTACTTTATTTTTAAGCATGCTAATTTAATAAATATTCTCCAATGACCATGAATAACAAGAGTTGCGCGTTTTACGATTTTACTCACAACGATTAAACAAACAACCCAGAACCATCAGGTGATCAGGTAAGTTGTAAGTATAAGTATTTGTAGTATAATGAAAACGGTATTGGGTATTGGGTCAAGCCAATAGGGGTTAGGGGGCTAAGGGGACTGGCAAGATGACGAGTTCGAGTTGATCATTGAACCTCATTTCGACCTCGATCCTCGATCTCCCAAAATAAAAGCAAGTGAACGAACCTAAAAACTATATAGGTAACCTTATTAGGTTCGTTCAAGTCCTAGCTCGGAGAAGCTGGGACGGACTGTTCGTGCTCATACTGCTCACTGAGTTTCACCCTAAGGTTTCAGTCCCATGGTACGAAATAGAGCTCCGCAATAGACTGTCCGCAATAGAAACAGCCAATCAGAGCTATTGCAGGTTGAGACCGTTTTTATATTTTGGTATGCAACTGTCAGAAAGCTTTGAGGTTATGTAAGGTATTACTTTGCTAAGAGAATGGGACCAAACCAAAAGTTATATATTAAAACCAGCTTCAGTACTTATGTTTTGACGGATTTTTATTTTTTGAAAGGAGATGGATTTTTTTTAACTTAATGGTTGCCAAAGTTAGTATGGTCTTCTGTAGTACACTAATTTTCATGTCAGACATTTCACCCTGAGCTCCAAAACATACCAACAAAAACAAACAATCACTGTTGATCAGCTGGTTGTGTTAAGGCCTACGCAGTCAAAGTAACATAAGGTGCACAGTGCACAGTGCACAAGAATAACATTAGTTGGTATATCTATATCTGTAAAAACGTAAAGCACAACGCGTTGTGCATTATGTATATAAGTATATCAACCAATGTTATTCTTGTGCACTGTGCTCTGTGCACCTTATGTCAATTTGACTGCGTAGGCCTTTATTCGAGAGGTTCGAAGTATCTCTTTCTCACTCGCACTCACATGCATGAATGAGTTACGCTTACGCATTGGTTGTTACTGCACATGTGACCATAGCGAACTTTGTCTCTCCGAAATAAAATAACATAACCAGCTGATCAACGGTGATTGCTTGTTTTTGTTAATATGTTTTGGAGCTCAGTGTGAAATGTCTGACATTTTCTTTGGGAAGCATCCAATTACAATGTTTGCATTTATAATACTAAAATGATAACTTAAGTGAACTACACGAAAAATAGGTTATCAAAATTTAAGGCAAAAGAATACAACTTACGCTTTCACATAACGCTGCATTGTTGTTAGGAGCTCCACTCATTTTATTTTAGATTTGTTCAAACTTTTGGTTTGGTCTTATTCTCTTAGTAAAGTAATACCTTACATAACCTCAAATCTTTTTGACATTTGCATGCAAAAATACAAAAACGTTCGCAACCCGCAACAGCTCGATCGTCCGCAATAGCTCTGATTGGCGGTTTCAAAATGGCAGTTTTTTTGCGATTTGCAAAAAAATGGCTTATCCGTTGTGAACCCAACGTGGCTCATTTTATTTGTATTAAAATTGCACATCTTTTTACACAACACTTTTTTATATGTGCGATTCTTCGGTTTTTTATATTCTAGACATGAAAAACCTGTATTGGCCATAAATGAAATTTTTTTCAGGGCCTGTGCTGACATATTTGTACATATTAAATTCTGTATCAATTTATTATTTTGCACTGAAANAGTTGTTTGTCTACTTAGCTATACTTGTATATAAAGTAATTTATATTGTAGGTTCGTTTTATAACAAAAATATGGCATCCAAATATATCTTCAGTGACAGGAGCGATTTGCTTGGATATATTAAAAGATCAATGGTAAATTCATAATATTTGTTAATTATAACAGTTTGATTACAATAATGTATTTGGATTACGAACTATAAAATGATCGATTTTGTAATTTTCAATTTAGTTAAATGTTACGTTTAGCCTTGACAAAATTAAAAAATACGTTTAATATAACTAAAAATTTACAAAATATTATGTTGTGAAATTTGATGCTGATTTTAAAAACCGTAATTCAACTTTTTTTACCTTCACTACAAATTAGTTTGTATGTAAAGTTTACCCGGACGATAAATAAACAATGAAAAAACTCTCACTCTCACGCAACTCTCGCTCCTCCACATCCACTCCAGTCGAAGCAGTCGGTCCTAATAGTCGATTACTACGACTACTGCACTCAGCCGCAGTCGACTGCGGCGCTCATAATCGACTATAGTCGAAAGTCGATAGTCGACCTTTCCAACCCTACTTTGGAGGATACGGCGCTTCTGCTACAATGTAGTTCAATAAATCATAGTCACAAAATCCATGAACCACAGGATTGTCCGGCAATACGCTCATTAAATCTTCTACGAGCAGTCTTCAACTTCTTCTGGGTCTAAAAAAGGCAGCCCGAAAAAGCACTTCAAAAAATTTCCTTCTTCTGAATCTCGGTTTTTATACAATTTGCTTAGACCAATCTCTTGAATTCTTCGCCACCAGCTTTGGCTCAATTAAAACTTACAGGCCCAGATGTTTATATTTGGCAGACTGTTATTAATAGCACTGTGAATTTCTGGCTCAAAATCTGTGTATATGATATCCCCATAAAAAAACTAACTTTTATATGAAGTAAAAGGTTAGGCGAGTTTGATGTGTTTCAAATACATCCAAAACAATCGTGTTTACAAAACTAATAACGTTATACAGTGAAACAAAAGTTATTTTCATAGCAAAGACTACAATATCTCCAAGTGTTTCAGTTAACATGTTTCTAATGCTACTTATTTGAAAATATTTGGCGAAATAAAATATTTAAAAAGTAATAAGATCAACGAAAAATAGTCAGTTTTGTTGCCTCGTCAAAGAGTTACTATAAACATGAAATTATTTATCACTAGAATGAATATCTTAATTGAAATATGTAATTAAATAAAAATTTATTCACAAAATAATTGAACGTTTGAAAAGTTATGAGATCAGTTAAAATTATTCAAGTTTATTGATACATCAAGGAGTTATAATTTACTAAAAATTATTCAGTATTAAAATAAAAATCTTTATGAAAATATCTGAGTGCATTAAAAATTTTACAAAACGAAATGGAAGATTTAGAAAGTAATGAGATATAAAAGAAATAGTCAAGTTTTTGACATTACACATATTGTAATACTTAAGTAGTCAANTTGTAGTACTATGGAACCTATAAACATGTGCTTATTTTGACTTTCACTTTACTGACTTTTTTTTCACAAACTTAGGTATTCTAAAATGTATTTAAAAACAAAGACCAGTGTATAATGCGGATTTTTTATACGTAAGTATTTGATTTATTAACAAGTGTTGTAACAAACACAGATGTATACATTTCAAGAGATTTGAAGCTCTCAAACTATTCTAGCTTAGGAATCAAATTAAATAAAAAATTTTGCACCTTCAATACCTGTTACTACTATTGACACGTTTAAAAAATATTTATAAAATTTTTATCAAGCTTTTATGGTAACATAATAAATAGTCGGCATGTTTAAATGAAAATTACAATAAGTAAGCATCTTTAGTGACATCAAAAAAACGTTTTTAAGATATAAATTTAATTCCTAAGTAAGGGTGCGTTAAGGGTTTAATTTTGTATGTTATTCGGGTGGTTATTTTATGGTAAACGGATAAATTTTTAAGTACTATCTATACCCAATCTCCTAACTACACAAAGTAGATGCAATCAGTTGTTGATCGTACTGACTAACGAGAATACACCTGAAAAACAATTGTTCTCTTTGTATTTTTCATCTTAAGCTTTCTGCTAAAAATGCTGTTTATTGGAAATTAAATTTTTTTTATCTCTTTGAGATAATATTAACTACATGTCACGTTCCAGCTGGATTGTCACTAGATGAACGTGAAACAGAACAATATACATGGACTAACGAAATGCTAATTTAAGATTTTCTACATGAACACGAAAGCGTACAGTTAATGGATGCCCTAAGACATAAAAAAATATACTGTTTAATTCAACGTCAATAAATAAACGTCAAACAACAACAAAACATTCAGGCCTTGAAAAAATTTTAAACAAGTGTCAAATATATTAATATATTTGAGACAAAACTGCGTAGTAGAGGGTGGAAAAATGTGATGGTCATACTAAATGTACGCAGCATTTACGTGCAACAAAAAAGAAATACCAATCTAGTTTTTCCCTTACCCTTATACTAACGTTAATACTATATTTTCTGCTGGAACAAAGGTAAAGATGGTTCATGAAAGGTCAAGGACACGTTGAATAAAATCTTTATTCAAGTGCAAGTGCCCACATTTTAGTCCTTGTCTGCAGAAGAACAGAGCGAGCGTATTGATGGAAATATCAATGCTTAGATGAAAGGTGCACTAAAATCAACCAATCGTAAGGTACTGATACAGAAAGTACCCTTCAATATTTCTACTTGTATTAATTTTAGAAAAATTATTAAAAGTTTTTATATTCTATGTACGTGCATGCAATAGCATAATTATTTATTTTCAAACTTAGCAGCTAAACAATTGAGTGTGGACAACTAACTTATAAACCTACTAAATATAACACATGCTAACTAAGAAGTCCATGTAATAATTTAATTCTTTTTTTATTGTATAAAATTATAAAATTATTCTTTCTGCTACAAGTGTATCTTTATACATTGAAACACTATTGATTTATAAAATTTTATACTCGTAAATTTCTTGACAGTACCAAGATCTTGAGGTCAAATTACACATT